CACTTATTGATGTGGCGATACCCAACACCAATATTTTAGTTGTTAAATACCAACGAAAAGATCGCCAAGTACAGAGATCTAGAAATACAAATCAGGAGACAATGGAGAATGAAAGTACCCAGACACTAACTCTATTGTTCTATCTAACTACTGGTGTTATTCCCAAAAACCTCCTAGCGAACATAAAACAGCTGGGTCTAAATGAACATCTTTATACGGCCATGCAGAAAGCTGTAACTCCTCGCGACGTCCAGATGTGTACGAAAGTTTCTGGGAGATACTCCATTATACCAGGTCACCTAGGGCTCGAAACATGGAAAGAGTCCCACCAGAGCTCAATCCTTTTTATACCGTAGGTATCTGGGATGAGGTGAATTTTCCCCTTAGAGGGAGTGTGAGCCGTATGGCTAAATCTGGAATAATAATAATAACATCTTTATAAGGCCATGCAGAAAGCGTTGTACTCCTCGCGACGTCCAGATGTGTACGAAATCTTTGCGTGAGATACTCCAACATACCAAGTACACCTATGCTCGATAACACGGAAAGAGTCCCACCAGAGCTCAATCCTTTTAGGATACCGTAGGTATCTGGGATGTGTGAATTTTTCCCTTAGAGGGAGTGTGAGCCGTATGACTAAATCTGGATAATAAAAAACACCTACAAGCTATACTGGGACCTGCACTGTGCTTACAGACTAACCAGTGGCCATAAGAGACCGGATCTCATACTAGTTAATAAACTTACTAGACAAACAACACTTATTGATGTGGCGATACCCAACACCAATAATTTTAGGTGTTAAATATAACAAAAAAGATCGCCAAGTACAGAGATCTAGAATACAAATCAGGAGACAATGGAGAAATGGAAAGTACCCAGACACTACCTATTGTTTATATCTACTACTGGTGTATTCCCAAAAACCTCCTAGCAAACATAAAAAGCTGGGTCTATAATGACATCTTTATAGGGCCATGCAGAAAGCTGTACTCCTCGCGACGTCCAGATGTGTACGAAATATTTTGGGAGATACTCCAACATACCAAGTCACCTAGGGCTCGATAACACGGAAAGAGTACCCACCAGTGGCTCAATCCTTTTGATACCGTAGGTATCTGGGATGAGTGAATTTTCCCCTTAGAGGGAGTGTGAGCTGTATGGCTACATCTGGATAATAATAATAATAATAATAAAGCTAATAATAATAATAAAAAGCTGGGTCTAAATGAACATCTATATAAGGTCAATGCAGAAAGCTGTGCTACTTTACGACGTCCAGATGCGTGCGAAAATTTTTAGGAGATACACCGACGTACCAAGTCACCTGGGACTCGATTAACATGGAAAGAGTCCCACCAGAGCTCAATCCTTTTGATACCGTAGGTATCTGGGATGAGTGAATTTTCCCGTTAGAGGAAGTGTGAGCCGTATGGCTAAATCTGGATAATATATAATACAAGTTAAAGCGAAACTATCAAAGAAAATCTAAAAATTAAACGTGTTCAGACCTGAAATGGTAAAGCAAAAGACAAGAAAAATCTGGACAAACAAGAGGAAAAAAGCATATAGCAAAATCCAAAAAAACAATAAGTGTGCATCCCTCATTTGTTCACAACAGCCTATTAGTGTTTTACTAAACACTACAATTAGGAAAAATAGTTAATAGCATATCTAAGAGTGCCAGTCTGATTATAATATTAAATTGAATTGTAGTCCAGTCGTCAGAGAGTTGACCCCTAAAAATTATACTAACAAGCTGAATTTTGCCGAGAATATTAATTTTGGAACCCCAAAAAAGATGCAAAAAATTTAACCGCTTTAACTTCCCTGTAAAACCCCCCTCGTAGGGGTTAAAAACGCAAAAAAAATCGATTTACCAAGAACCTGTACACCGTAAAAAAAATGTTTTAAATAAAAAATGTAGCTGAGATAATTTTAAACAAAAATGGTTATTAGCACTTTTTGTGTAGAATGAACCGTTCTCTCAGAAAAAACGCCTGAAGTGACCGTCGATTTTGAATGTCAGTTACGCGCGCCAAATCAATTTATCAATAAAATTTGTATCAATTCGATGGTAAACATTCGACATCTTTTGATCTAACTGCTCTTCGACAAAACTCAAGATACGTTTTAAAGGCAAAGAGCGCAGCTTTCGTATTCAGTTTTTGTATTTTGCCGCAAATAAACTCAGTTTTTATAAAAAGTTAAATAAAGAAACGTGGCGTGATTTTTGCCAGTTTACGATTCTCTTGAGATCAATAAAATTAATTAGTTTCATTGACTAGTCGTTGTAAAACTTCCTTTTTTAGAGATCAATCTTTAAAACCTATGACATGAAATTTCAATTTTGAGTTGTAACAAAAAATATGAGGCATTTTGAAATATGAATAAAAAATGCAGAATTTAATGTTTTACATTACAAACGATCGCACGTCACGGGAAATGCTTCCAAGACTACGGTTTTTGGGTATAGTTTATAGCAGAAGTTTGGTTCTTTTGAAAAACATACTAGTGTATTAAAAAAAAGTTTTAAACATGTTAGATCGTTTGTTATGTGAAAGTTTAAATCCAGAGTTTTTTAACCATATTTCAAATACATTACATTTGTTGCTAAAACTATAATTTCATGCTTTAGGTTTTGAAGGTTAAGCTCGAGTAATCGAAACTTCATATTTCCAGTCAGTGAAAGGTATAGATTGTATTGATCTCATGTGAATTATGAGAAATGTCAAAAATCGCGCCACGTTTATGTATTTAACATCTTTATAAAATCTGAGTTTATTTGCCGCAAAATACAAAAAATGCATACGAAAACTGAACTCTTTACCCTTAAAACGCATCTTGATTTTTGTCGTTAGGACACTTGAATTAAAAGATATAGAGTTTTTACCGTCAAGCTGATACAAATTTTATTGAACATTGATTTTACACGGGTAAATGACATTTAAAATCAACGGTCGCTTCAAGCGTTGTTTGTGAGAGAACGGTTCATTCTACACAAAAAATGGTAATAATTTTTTTTGTTTAAAATTATTTCAGCCACATTTTTTATTCAAAATAATTTTTTTCTACGGCGCGGCGTACAGATTCTTGGTAAATCGATTTTTTTACGTTTTTACCCCCCTACGTGGGGATTTTTAGAGAAAAGCCGGGGGGTAAAAAGCGGTAACTTTTTTGCTTCTTTTTTAAAGTCCCAAAATTAATATTCTCGGCAAAATTCAATTATTAATAATACAATCACGTTGTGCTATTAAGGACGTTAGAAAGTTCGTTATTTGTATTGCATTGAAGTGTGAATTAAAAAGGGTGGGTGCAAAAGTGGTAAACTTTTTGCTTCTTTTTTAGAGTCCCAAAATTAATATTCTCGGCAAAATTCAGCTTGTTATTATTATTAATATAATCACGTTGTGCTATTAAGGACGTTATAAAGTTGGTTATATTGTAAAATAGGTAACGAAATAATAAATAAGACTTACTCACAATCAATTTAATTTAACTATCAGACGACCGTTCGCTTTCGTACAATATGCAAAGCATCTTCAGGTCTCGATACAAGTTAAATAAATGCTGAAATGATAAAAACCATATTAGGGTGTTGTCTAATAAAGATAAACAAAGTAGAGTTGTAAATTACAATAATTATGTCATATTACATGTCTGTGGTTTTATTTAAAAAGAGTAAGTTGAATAAAAAGGTATAAAAAGTTTTAAAAGTTTTAACAGACAAGGTAAGGCCCACAAATTGTTATAAAATAGTCTATTAGATTGTAATAAATTAATAAATGAGCAAATAAAATAAACATTACTTACATGCCGGTACTCTATTAATTGATGGATGGTAGAACATGATTAAACTAATATGATTGTTGAATGGAGAACTCAATTCTGCTATTGCAGTTGTTTGACAGTAAACGGGAAGTTCTTGTGGAGATAGATTTGATCCAATGAAGCAGAGATATGTGTGTGATTGTTTGTTAAATGAAAGTGATGTAATATACCATTGTATTATTAAAAGTATTGTATTGTATATAATACCATTGTATTATTTTTTAATAATACAATGGTATATTACATCACTTTCATTTAACAAACAATCACACACATATCTCTGCTTCATTGGATCAAATCTATCTCCTCAAGAACTTCCCGTTTTACTGTCAAACAACTACAATAGCAGAATTGAGTTCTCCATTCAACAATACATAGTAGTTTCAACCATGTTCTACCATCCATCCAATTAATAGAGTACCGGCATGTAAGTAATGTTTATTTATTTGCTCATTATTAATTTATACTAATAGACTATTTTATAACAATTTGTGGGCCTTACCTTGTCGTTTACTTTTAAACTTTTTTATACCTTTTTATTCAACTTACTCTTTTTGAAATAAAACCACAGACATGTAATATTGGCATAATTATTGTAATTTACAAATCTACTTTGTTTATCTTTATTAGACAACACCCTAATATGGGTTTTTATCATTTCAGCATTTATTTAACTTTGTATCGAGACCTGAAGATGCTTTGCATATTGTAGAAAGCAAAACCGGTCGTCTGATAGTTAAATTAAATTGATTGTGAGTAAGTCTTATTTATTATTTCTTTACCTATTTGAAATGGACTCACACAAGCAACACATTCATGATTTGGTTATTTGTATTGCATTGAAGTGTGGATTTCTCAAAAAATATGAATAAAATATCAATGGTGGAAATGATTATTAGAGATACAGCAAGTGACCGGTGTATTTTTGGTGAATTAACCACAGTTACAAATACGAAGAGGTTAATAGATGATACTGATAATACTATATACGTTTTCGTCTATTTCGTTTGGTTTTATCCATCAAGATATTTTTGTCTGTTCTTCTTGATGCTTATTTATAATTTTTGGTCCTATCTATTAGGAAAAAATTTAATACTATTATTTTCTTTAAAATATCAGTTAAACATGTTACATACAAATTGGCTTGAATAATTGATTTTCGTTTTTAGATGGCGCTGAGATTATTTCTATGGATGCCTTTAATAGGTCAACGACTGGCATTGAGTTCGTTATTGGAATCACGATAATTAAGGTAATTTGAGAGTTAATCCCATTGTAATAAAAAATCGGTAATGTATAATATTAGATCATAGTAAATTACCATTTTAAACCATTTAAGGTAAATGTACCTTATATCGACACCTTAAGAAATTTTCTATCTGTCATCGCTCACACAATATTACAATTTTAACAGAAAAGCAATTATTCGAGTGTAATAGGTCTATTTAAGTTTTTTAAATTTAGTAGATATACAATTTTTTTATTATAAACAACCATTTATTTTATTAAAATATTTTTATTGAGAAAACCCTGACTGTCCCTTATATCGACAGTTTTTAAAATCATCTGTCCGTATTATCGACATAAATATGACCCTATTGTCGACAGGTAGGTAAGCAATAATAAAACAGCTATTAAGTACTTAAGTAAGTAAAATTATATTGAATAAGTGTACATATAACTAACTAAGTATTAATTTAAAAATTCAGATAAATCCTTGATAGAATATAATCCCCTTTTGTTTTTTGTTTCAGGTGCCTTAATTCTTTTACGACTTCCGCTTGTTCATACCATAAGATATCTTTTCTTTCGGGCCAGATCCAATTTAATCCTCTCCTTTCCATATGATTAACCTCATATTTTACACCTTCTTCGGTTGTCCATACATAGTTCCTTACCAGATAAAAGTTGGTCATTGTAATTGACAATAACGTCATCGTCAATAATATACTGTTCTTCTTGTGAAGAACCCTGTTCGGTTGCCTGCAAAGTATGTCGATCATTGTCTGAATTGTCCTTCTTTTCATCTACTCGCTTTTTACAATGTTTCTTTCTTTCGTTTGTGCAATTGCTTGTTCTTTTTCTAGTTGTTTCGTTACGTTCTGTTTTTAATTGCTCTTTTTGAAGTATCTCCATATTTTTCTTTTCTTCTTTGCGTTTGTAATATTCCTGCCATTCGATTGATGAATGCAACAGACGGCACTTTCTCTCGAAATCTTCCAACAATCGGTTTTCTTTGTAGTTTCTGGCCAAAATAGAGAGTTCTTGAAAGGAGAAGGTATTGTTGGGTCCGACATTGACTTGTTTTTCCTTTATTGGTGATGTAAATCCTTGGATTTCTTTTGATTTCCAAATCGGTGCATTTTGATCTGAATTTTCTATAATTACGTTTGCTGGGGATGGATTTATAGGTTCATCATTGTCTTTTTCGCTCTCAGAAGTGGATAAATTTTCATCTCTATGGATGATTGCTTCAACCACTGTGCTGTCAGGAATTGATTCATGATTAGCAACGACTATCACAGAAGGATTATCATTACTGTCTAAAATAGAATTTTCAGAAACAACATCCACTTCAGTTATTCCATCTGTATTAAGAGTCGACAATTTGATAGTTATCGATTTTAGTCGTTGTTTCTGTAATACCTAAGTCAGGAATTGCTTCATGATTAACAACGACTATCACAGAGGGATTATCATTACTACTGTCTAAAATAGAATTTTCAGGAACAACACCCACTTCAGTTACTCCATCTGTATTAAGAGTCGACATATCAATTAATCCAGTTATGTCAATCTCGCTTTGATTATTATCGCGTAACAACTTGAATTAAATGGTTCGTTTTCAGGATCACTACAGCGCAGTTTCAAAGTTTTCCACAGGTTGAAAAGGCTGGTATCTTCTTTAAGACCACTCCAGCTTTCTCCAGATGACATGAATGTGTTCAATTTGTTATCAATTTCACGTTCCAAAAATCTTAAAAATCCTTTGGTTTCTTCATCGCCTGATGATTGATGTTTTGCGGGTGTTTGGACAGTTTTGAAATATTTGGCATAATTAATATTATTTGGATTAAATGGAACCAATCCACAAGTTCTAAAGCCACTTTTTATTGCATCTGGAATATTTGTCATTCGATATATCGTTTTTTCCAACAAAGAAGCAAATGTTCTCTAATTGTCTCCTGATTTCTATCGCCACTGATAAATTACTTTTTTCCATTCAGCTTTCATGGGCGAAATACAGAAACATCTAAAGGCTGTAAGATATGCGTCGAATTTGCTAAAAGGCAAATTAAAATGATTCCATTCTTGGAAGCCAATTCACTTACAGCTAATGTGAGATGTGAAGAATGGCCGTCAAAAAATAAAATAACTGGTAATGGCACTTCTTCTTTCATAAGCCAGGGGTGAAAAACATTTGCTATGTACTCAAAAAAAGTTTCCCCTGTCATCCAACCATTGTCAGATCTTCCTATACCCCAACCTGCAGGAACTTTTTCAACTATGTTTCTTTGCACTCTTTGAACTGTAAACAATCATTGGAGGGGCGAATTGGCCTGCTGCATTACAGGTGAGAAGTGTCGTTAAGCATTCTTTCTCATCATTATTGATAAATGAATATACGGTTCTTTCACCCTGTTTTACCAAAACTTTGTCGTTTTTGAGGGCTAAGAAAGAATGCTGATTCATCGCAATTGAAGACCCGTTGTGGTTCATTCGTGACATGTAAGAAATTGTTTTTCAAAAGGTAGCTGTTGATCTCCATAAACCATTTTCTTATTTTTTCTTCTGTGACGTTAGCACGAGCATTTGTTAAATTTTGAGAAATCCTTCTGGTTAATTCAGGATGGCGTCTCATAAAACCCTCAAATCAATGTCTTCCTGGTCTTCCATCTTTGAAAGGATTTCTCTCTTTTCAGGTTTTTGATTTAAAATTTGTACGCTATCAATCAACTGGAGTTTGGTTGCGGGAAACCCTTGTTCGGCTATGGTCATCATCCATTTCACTAATATATTTTCTTCTTTCCCTGTTAAAATAGTTTCAGCTCCAATTTTTTTCCTTGAGGTGATCTACCATGTAACTTGTCCAATAATGTTGTTCGTGGATAATTAAAAGTTTTATTTGCTTTAAATGGCGACATTCCGTTTCTTACGGCTTGTATAACATTATCCATTACCTCTTCTGAATAAAGAAGCCTGCTTTTTGGATTAATTTTGATAATCGTTGCCTTTAATTCTAATATGAAAAGAAGAAAAATCATTGTACCTATTATCGACACTATTCTGAACATAGGACCGACACCAGTTTTAAAAGGTTGTTAGCATGTCAGGGCTCATTAAAAGTTGGTGTCGATACAACCTCACAGTGATATTTAATCAATTCTCTAATATCGTATACAAAAAAGGATAGTCTTATGTCATTTATATTAATGTGAGGGAAAGGTGAATAATTTTAATGTTTGTCCCCTATACCGACAGTAATGTCGATTCTCGGTACAACGTAAAAAATGGATGTACCTAATACCGACACTACAAAAAAATAACATTTTTGGCAAGAAATACATTACTAAAGACATTTTTCAATTATAAAGATTAAAATATAAACATGTACAAACATAAATAAACAAGTATAACATTATGTTTTTTTTTAATTCTCTGAATATAAGTAGTTATACTTTACCTGTATTCTAAGCGATCACAACAGTAACTTACATCCGACGACGGTTGAACTTGAAATGATAAGACTTTGACAAGACACCGGAAATGCCAATTTGACTACCACAGCAAATAAAAATATTAAAATAGACCACTGAAATGCACAAAACACTCACAGGCGGTGGTCGGTGGTGTGACAGCATCTGCAGGTCCATCCTCGGTGATGTGCTCGTTCTACGGCGGCTTCGTCCTCTCTAGCTATACGTTTCCCATCTGCATGTCGCCGGTGTGTCGTAGACGAGTTTGCCTGAGCCTCCGTGGTGACTCTGGACCACATAATGGTAGGGCAGGCAGTGACTGGCTACTCCGGGGACATCCATCGCATCCGGTACTTAGCATCAAGTAGGCTGGCTCGTCGGAGATATGGCACATCGACGGTTTCAGGGCTGCAGAAGGTGGGATATCGGCATGTTAGTTTGGTGTACTAACATCCGATGCTTCTCCCCGCTGTTTTCTTGAGTTGTTTTGATGCAGGCGTCGTGTTGGAACTTTTGCGATTTTGGATCGCTGGAGCATGAGAACTCTGACATCTCGGAGTCGTGGTAGAGTTGGTAAAATAGTTGGGCGCCATGTCGTCTTCGGTGTAATTAATAAACGTATGAAAAGTAGATAGCATCTTGGTGCAAGTTTCCACGTTTATTAATTTCTCTAACTATTGCGCAATATGGTGCAATTTTGCGTAGTTAGCCGAATACGCTCTTGTTGGGGCATTGTCTTGAAAAAGACAATGCCGGTAGGTTTATTTACTATTGTAGAAATAAAACACACATTTTCTAAGAAGAAAAAAACTCAGCTTCAGAGTCTTAGAAAAATTGCAGAGTCCTTCAGTGAGGAGCTTTCGGGCTACCCGCTAAGGGTAAAACCGCACTCACTCGAGATCCGAAAATGTCCCATATTTAAAGACAAATTAAACTTTTATATGAAACCTTTCAATTTCTCAACCAATTAAATTTAATTATAAGTTCCGGAAGGAAGGGCGATGCACATCGAGGTGCGTGATTGGTGGCACCTGATGACAATAAGTTGCAAGTTTTATTAGAAAAATCTGTCTTAAGATCAAAAAATAGAAGTGAAAATGAGTTTTAAGAAAAGTCAGCTTTATTATAATTTGGAGAACTATGGCTAATAATATTAGATATAGTGTAGTTCAAATACGGAGACGAAATACAGATAAGTAATTTGAAATTAAGTAGACCCGTTAGTGGTTAAACGAAATTAATAAAAAAAAAGTTAAAAAGACACATAAAAAGTAACAAGAACATAGGTGTTACAAAGATGTTCTAAATCAGCGTTTCCCAAATAGTAGGGTCGCCTCCGGTACCGGGCCACGAAAGCAAAATGCTGGAGCGCCTACAACTGTCACAAAAAAGAAGGAGTCCTGGACTCGACAATATTCTGAATATGACTTACAGTTCGGTTTTATAAAGGATACTGATGACAAACCATCGTGTTATTTGTTATGCTGCACTTTCAAATGAGTACATGAAACCTTCAAACTTGAAGCGGCACTTGGAATTGAAGCACCAGGAATAC